TTGTTTTTTTTTCACTTTTGGATCATTTGACCTTAAGAAAGTCAGTTACCATGTCCTGAGGCAGCCTATAGAGAAGCAGATCACATGACAAGCCCTGCCTGTGGTCATAGGCATACAAGTTGAGCTTTTGGATGAGTCCATAGGACTGGCTGATGTTGTTCTGCAACTTCATGAGAGACCTTGAACCAGAAGCATCCAGCTAAACTGCAACCACATTCCTGATACACAGAAACAGGGAGATAGTAAATGTTTGTTGTTTTAAGATGCTAGTTTTTGGGATAACTCATTTATTCAGCAAGAGATCATTAACATGTTACATTTTTGGTATGTGTATTAAATATACTTTGAATGTTAAAACAAAAGGGCAAACTCATTTAAAATATTAGTGAACTAAAAATAAAAGAAACCAAGTGCCGTAGCTGGTTTGGCTCAGTTTCTAGAGCATTGGCCTATGGCCTGAATGGTCCCGGGTTTGATTCCAGTCAAGGGCATGTACCTCTGTTGCAAGCTCAATCCCTGGCCCTGGTCAGGATGTGTGGGAGGCAACCAATCAATATTTCTCTCTCACATCCGTGTTTCTCTCTCTCTGTCACTCCTCCTTCCTTCCAATCTCTCTGAAAATCAATGGAAAAATATCCTCAGATAAGGATTAACAAAAATAAAATAAAATATTAGTGAATTAATATTTTTGTTGTTAGGTTTTTTTAAGATTAAATTATTCATGAAGTGAAATCAGGTAGATTTGTGTCTTTTTTTTTATTTTATATTGAGCGCTTTAGTAGTAGAAAAGAATGGGGGAATCGCATAAGTGAACAACCTAAATATGTATACAGTTATGAAGCAGATAATTCATATATAAGAGTGCTGCTTTTTTATTATCTTGATATTTTCATAGTCGAAAAAGAGATTGTGAACTTGAAACGTATTTTCTGAATTTTAATTTTCCACTTATTTTATTTGACTGGCTCAATCTTAAAAAGAAAATAAAATTCCTAAATGTATAGGTCTTTTGGTTCTGCATTTTCTATCCAGTTTTCAACAAATCCAACTATTTATTTAACCACATTATTTTGTTTCCAGGAAGGACCTTTTCTTACAGCACATTTCTGAAATATGACAGATCTTAAAATTGATGGCATTGTTCAAATGCTGTTGGGCAGCAGGCATTTGGACATGGCTACACAGACTGGTTGGAATCCCAAGTAGCCTGACAGGACAACTGCAACTCCTCAACATTTCAGTCAGCTAAAATATTTGAAAATACTTGAGGAAATAACAGAAGCCTGTTTGTTGTATGGAAACCTGCTTTCTAGAAAGATAAAGGAATAAATGCCATCAAGATTTGCAAAATTGGAGGCAGTAGCTTGGGTGAAAATCTCAGGGACCAGATATGGGAGCACAAGTCCTCGAATGCTGGGTATTAGGTGGAGAAGATATGCAGATCAAGTAGCCATTGCTAACAAGGAGCCATTAGACAAAGCAGTTCTTCAAAGTAGTCTCACAAAGCAGCCACGCAAAGCAGCCACCTAGGCTGGTCAGTAACACACCTTTATACCAACTTAGACTAAAGAGGTTTCTTGCCAAATAGTGACATCAGTATTTGGGTTCTAAAAAGGTACGTACGCCTGTGCAGTGCATACGGCAAGATAGCTGTGTCCTTGCTTTTGCACATGCCTGTGGCAAATTGGCATTGAACATCTGGCATACTCTAATTAGTGTTCCCACACCAGAGTAGACCACCATTTTAAGAAATGCTCCCTTACCAATATTCACTGTTTCATTTTTTATTTGCAAGAGAGAGAGAAAGAGAGAAAGAGAGAAATATTGACCTGTTGCTCCATTCACCCATGCATTCATTGGTTACCCCTTGCGCGTGCCCTGACTGGAGATTAAACCCACAAACCTGGTGCACCCAGAAGATGCTCTAACCAACCAAGTTACCCAGCCAGGGCCCAGTACTATTCTTAATATAACGATGATGATATTGACCAAAATACTGTGGACATGGGTTGAAAAAGATTAAGATATTTTGTTTTAAGTGGGAAGATGTTTTAAGAATTTTCAACTATCCTATTGCTTATGTTTCCCTATATATGAACAAGATAGTTGATAACATATGTTTAAATTGATCATAGTAATTTTTAGAATAGGTATAAAATTTGCATTCTAAGTAATGTGTAAGTATTTTATCATAGTTTAATTGGGAGCATACATTTTCCTTAATGTAACATAAAATGATGGTGTGCTTGGCTCTTGAAGGCATTTGAGTTTGGTATAAAACATGTATATATTAACAAAATAGTATAACAAATCATCTAAATTACATAGATGTGTTTATTGTTGTGTCCTTGCTTTTGCACAGCAGTAAACACATATATGTAACTTTGCAAAATTATAAATACATCTTTAAAAATAGTGTGGAACAAAAATAAATATTAACAATTTTCTTTTAAGATTATCTTCTGAATCTTTTTATGATATTTGTGGTAGAACAGCAATCTCTCAAGGAGAGGAGAAAGACTGGAATTTAAAAATAATGTTCTTTCAAGATTTAGGCTCACCTAACAAGCTAATTTAAGTATATGTAATGTAAGCAGGATGGATAAACTCTCTTTGGTGCAGAAAACATTTAGGATATTTCTGTGAATTTCACTAATGGAAAAAATCTACCCCATGTTTACTCAGAAACAAACCACTCTGTTAAAAAGCCTTGAGAAGTAAACCTAGGGTATAAATAAATGCTTGCTGGATAAAGCTGGGGAAAAAAGATGAGGTCAAATAACTGTAAGGAGGGTAGTGGATGGAGAAGACTGAATACCAATGTTGGGTGTTTGGATTTGAATAAGAAGCTGTGATTGTAACTCAGGGTTGTGGTATTTTCTGAACTTCTGACTTATGAAATTCCCAGAAGACACATGGTATCAGTCAATAATAAGGAAACACAAATAAGTTAGAACTTGCTGCTTGATACATTCATTTTCTGAGGTTTCACATGTTGGGAATGATTAAAAAATATATTTTTTAAATTACATTTCTGAGGTTTCACATGTTGGGAATGATTAAAAATACATTTTAAATTACATGGGGTTGTTGTTGTTGTTGTTGTTGTTGTTGTTGTTGATGTGCTCCCCAGTTGACATCTGGTTTGCAAAAATAAAAAATAAAAAATAAATCTTAAGTTCTGCTGAAAACTATTAAAAAATGTAAATTATACTTTTGGAATCTGCTTGGGGAAAATATAGAATACAGAACAAATAAACAGATAAAATATGGCCAGGGCTTTCTTTAGGACAGCAAAAAATAGTTACCATTATTGTTTCTGCTACTGTTTTGACCTTCAAAAATTTGAATATACACATGCTAACTGGCAGTGAATTCTGTAAGTTCTAAAGGGAACTTTGGGGAGGAAGGAAGAAATTTACATTCACCAGAGGGGAGTAGGAGAGGGGTGGAGGTAGGTAGAGGGAGAGCTATGTGTGACTTGCTGCATTCTATGGAGGTTGGGTACTAACTCCAGAAATGATCTGATGCTACAAACTGCCATTAATGACTAAGCAGGAAAAACTAATCAAGCAGATATGTGTAAAGCGTTGTGGCTGGTTATGACACAAATATGACAATGAAATAGTCACCTACTACTAGTTGAAAATTTTAAAAAATACAATATTTAACATTAATTGATTTTTAAATATTGTTATGTTGATTTTTTTAAATATTTCAGAGTGGAAGGGGGAGGGAGAGATAGAAACATCAGTGATGAGAGAATCATTGATAGCCTGCCTCCTGCACACCCTCAACTAGGAATGGAGCCCACCATTCAGACAAGTGCTCTCACTGGGAATCAAACCATGACCTCCTGATTCAAAGGTCAACACCCAACCAGGGAGCCACACCAGCCAGCCAAACATTGTTATGTTTATCAAAGTAATGGATGAATTAGGTATCAAATCAAAAGCATTGAATAGCAACCATCTGTTTTCTCCTCCTGTATCCTTGGTCCCT